CAACAACGTACAGTCGATCAAGGCTTGGTAGAGATATTTACAGTCTTCCGCCCCATCCAGCATGTCTTCGATTTCTTCGATCTCCTGGCGGAGATATTCCAAGCGTTCCGAGTCACTGAGATTCGGTGCCATTGTCTGCGCCGCTACCGTCGGATCAAAGACGCACATTAAGTTCTGGTGGTAGAACCACAATGACTGGTCATATGGGTCGCACAGGGCACGATGGACCAATTCCAACTCTTCCGAAATGACATGTTAGCATGCCCACGCAGTAAGACGCTTGTGTCTGCGCCACACGGCGGAAAACGTAACCTACCGTCATCGAGCATCTTTCTCCGCTCTTCATCGCTGGCTGATCGCTCGTTTAGTAGTCGCTGGATCAACTTGGTACGATAGTGCCAAGCAGAGAAATTCGACAGGTTGGCGCCGATCATCTTCTTTGCGTAGTCAAATTCAGCCTGGGTCATGTCTTCGCTGGGTTGCTCTGCGGACTTGAGCTCCCGAAGAGTCTCTATGACAAATCGTCTGTAACCCCAGCCGTGGAAGTTCCTACTGTCCAGGTTGAGCATCTTGCCTACCAAGCCCAATTCTTCTTGCCAGAATCGACGGGAGATCGAAGCAGGAAGAAGACGCTTGGCTTCGTCCAAGAGCCAGACGCGGTAGTTCCAAATCCAGTAGCACTTGGGAAAACTCTTGAGCAAGGGAATAAGAAATAGCAAGTCGTTCTTGATCAAGGAAGCAACATGTTCTGCTGCTGTTTCGTTGGAGCCGCTAGATTCTGCGCGCGAAAATTCGCTTCGCAAGACTTGACGACGATAATTCCATATCGTGTAGTACTCTGGGTTGCTGCTTAGCAGTTCGGATATCTTCTGTAGAGTTTCTGGTGTGTACTGCTGTGCCGCAATCTGGTCACCACCGTTAGGTCACGCTTGCCATGTAGAGATGTACGATTGCATAAATGCACCTTTTCTCGAACCGACTGTTCGAGTTCACGATACTTCTCGATCTTGCGGAGCTCTTGTTGGCGAGCTTCTTCAGTCCGCTCCCCTCTACGGGCGTATCGAGGAATCCCATGCTGTAGTTGCACACAAGGTCAGTTTGATGTGCGCGAATGAGCCAGCAAGAATAGGTACGTCACTTCAGCCATTGTAGATTAAGAGAGACTTTTTTGGGATGTTGCAACAGGGCTTCCTTGGGCGGATGGATTGCAAATAGGTTGGCGGTCACTAAGGTTATCGATAAGAGTGAGTATGTGAAGCGGCGACTATTCCCAGTCCACTTACCGAGTCCCTGGTTGCCTTTCCAGGGCGGGAGCCGCAGCCACTTTCCTTATCTAGACGAGTCACGTGTCCTGCTCTATACAACCATTCTACTTTGCAATCATCGGAGGTATCATGGTCAGTCTCTTCTTTCTGACTCTTGCCAGCTATCACTCCGCCATGCTGTTCTTTGGCAGCATGGCAGTATATCAATAAGAGCTCCGGCTCATTTCTTGGCTCCACGAACTTTACCAAAGACACAGTTACTAACAGCGTTCTTTATACATCTGGGGATTATTATCCGCGCACCGTCAACTACTTGTTCAGTCTCAGACTGAGGCGGGGAGAGCAATGACCTCAAGCACTCGCTCATCGCGAAGCTCAATGCTGACAACCTCTCATTCCCATTCGGATCCTTCTGCACCCAATCCATCAGCTAATGGAGGAGGGCGAGTACCATCATTTCACCTGTGTGCGAGTGCCCCATCACTCTTGGAGCCCGTCACTCATTCCAAACTCAATATACATACTCCTCGACCTGGGTCAAAGAAACTGCAAGATGCCAAGAGCTTCGAGTCTTCTTCTCTCAAACCGGGAAGCAGGCGTCCATCCGCCCCTCATGCGAATGCTCTGAGGGCTTCAGACCACGCGTTGTCTACCTTAACAACAGGGCCAACTAGGAAACCTCGGTCGACGATCAGACTCCCCGTGCACTACAAGTCATCTGACTGCGGTACGAGATGTGAGCTGCCTGATCGATATATTCCCTTGCGAGAGTCCAACTGCGCGCCCACAACACCATTCCATGTACTTAAGAAACCGCGAGAGTTATCGCCAGAGGAGAAGCTACTGCGACGACGACCGCCTAGAGATGACCCGTTCATGTCATCACACCTTCCAAGATATTTCAGCGGTTCCAAAGTAGCGTCAAATCGCGTTTGCAGCCCTCACTATCGTCCTCATCTTGTCACCGAGCCTACCTATACTGGAAGCGATTCGCCGTTCCGCGACACCAGAGACATTTCGAGACAAATAAGCTATGGAGCTGTCTGGAATGTTGGAGGAAACTCCGCCTCCTTGGGTCGAGCATCTACGACAGTTGCTCGTGGCTCGGGCTCTCATTTCGCCAGTGGCACTACTGCTCCCATGTTTACTGCTAGATTCTTACCCCAGACTGCGGCGAACGAGGAACGCGAAAAACACAAATCCAGGGTGGCACTTGCTTTGGACTTTGATCCGGCAACAAGACTTATACAAAGCAGTAAGCCCTGGTCACTGCTCCGCGGGTTGCCGAATCCAGCTTCATCGGACTACGAGAGATTCTCTCCATTTGTGTGGAAGGATAACGCCTGGAAACGAAATGGGAGAGATCTGTGTAAGTCCCAGTTCTGCTCACAAGGTCAATCGAGTGCTTGTATTGTTTCGTGTTGTTCTAGTAACGAGGCCCCTGGTAGACTGTTGATTATCTTTTGTCGTCCTTTGAGCTACCTTGGGCCTCTCAGGGTCCCAAGACCTATGACTGACCATCAAGCCCACTGTCAGGGATGCCTGTATCCAAGCCGAGTAAGCGAGTCGTCCCCAATCGTCCGTTTCGCATTCTCGATGCGCCCCTCCTCCGCGATGACTTTTATTGCTCAACATTGGCGTATTCACCCACATCCGGCATTCTTGCTGTTGGTTTGGGTCATCGTGTGTATTTGTGGTCCGAAGATCTTGGAGTACAGCATCCTCCCCTTAGCGATCAGCATCCCTCCAACTACGTGACATCTTTAGCATTCTCCTCTGATAATGGCGGAAAAAGTATACTGGCTGTTGCAAGACAGTCGGGGATGTTATGTTTGTGGAGTGTCTTCGACGCTAAGGTCCGATTTGAGATTAGCCATCCTGAGAGCATCACATGTGTGGCATTCAAGCAAACCAAGTCCCGCAGAACATCAGAACGCTTCCGCAACATGGAAGTTGATGTCGAGGATCTGGCTGTAGGAGATAATCTGGGGAACATATGGTATTACTCAGTGGAGTGGCCTGATGATGAGATATGGGATCGATATGACTGGAACGGAGCCATGACCTTGCTCGCCAAAATCGCTGCTCACACACAGCAAATTTGTGGAATCAGTTGGTCACCAGATGGCTCTTTCCTTGCAACGGGGGGCAATGACAACTTTTGTCTGCTATTTGAGCTCCAGACTATTCTTCCTCCGCGTGAACTCAATCTTTCAGTTCAAACTGATTCGTCATATCGTTCTTCACACCAATCCACGCGCCAGTCAGGCCAGTCAGGAGGCACAGAAGGCACAGGTTCGGCCTCTTATCTTACAACAGAGGCTGGTAGGCTCCATCATCGAAGACGCAGTCTCATCGGCAATCTGCTTCCGCCCTGGGCTTTGTCATATGTTAGGCCTTTTACCACCTCGCTGCTGAACCATACGGGGTCATTGATCTCCGGTGGTGAGAAGACAATCATGGTTCCAGCCAACCGTCAAAAACATCGACTAATCCATGGGGCGGCGGTGAAAGCGATTGCATTTGCTCCTTGGCAACCATCCCTCCTGGCCACCGGTGGAGGATCCAACGACCGAACTATCCACTTCTACCACGCGCCGACAGGTGCATGCCTGGCCACAATTCATGTATATGCACAAGTGACGGGCTTGATTTGGAGCAAAACCAGGCGGGAGATTGTGGCTACATTCGGGTTCGCCCAGCCAGAGCACCCCTACCGAATCGCGGTGTTCGCTTGGCCGACTTGTGAGCAAATTGCTGCCATCCCTTGGGGGCCGCACGGTAGTAGCTGGGAAAGCGCAGATAATGACCTCGTGGTCGATTGCGGGCGGGCACTCTGCGCTGTCAGTTATCCTGGAAGACCCCATATTTTCGAGCCTGAAGCTTCGGACGAGGTCGAAGACGAGTGCGTGTCGAGCGCAGCAAACCAAGACCGGTTAGCCGGGCAAAGCCGATATCAGCCGAGTCGACGCCGTATGAGTCGCGCCTTTGTACGGCCACGCGCTAAGGAGGGAGGCCTATGGTGTTCGCGCACGATGCACGAAGGCTGCATCATCGTAGCTTCGAGCGATCAAAGCGTCAAGTTTCATGAGGTGTGGAGCGGATCTAAGCGAAGCACAGCTGCAGTAGCGGGCTCTTTTGGGGGCAGCGGCATTCTCGAGGGCTTAGAAGGTCTCGAGAAAGCGGGGGATGAAATCATTCGTTGATATCAGCGATCCTGATACCAGTGCGACGAGGGTCGTGAAGCTTGCCGTAGGTGTGTATCATTATCACAACCCGCTGACTACTAGATTGTAGTAACCCATTATTTTTTTAATGAGCCCTCTCTGTCATGTATACCTCACGGAACCTTGTGTGCCGAACGAAAGGAATCCTCCTGCCTTTGGAATCGGACCGGGCCGAAGATCCTTGCTGCATGGGTTTTGTTCATATATCAATAGCGCGTCTAAACTGACTCAAGCCTTTTCCATCGCGATCTTGCATTACGGAAACAAATGATCATCAATAGACTTACTTGAAATAAAGAGCCCACTGTGCTGTAAATTCAATCACTCGGATCTTTTTAGCCCTCAGGTGGCACATAATCCGAAGCAATATTTTATCATATTTGTAGCCCATCGCCTACAGCAGCCTGCCTCTTGAACAGTACAGTACTCAGTACTACAGCATCAACCGGTCTATTTCCCTCCAAAACCATCAATCTCAAGCCTTGCTTCTGAGCTACAACCATCTACAATGGGCGCATTCACCATCCTCATCTCGACCATCCTAGCCCTCGGCACCACTGCTCGAACAGCAGTAGCAGCAGCCACCACCACAAACACCACAGCGACAACCAGTTCATTCCCCAGCACCCTCAACATCACCACCCTGACAGCCCACAACAACCACTCCGTGCTCGAATGCTGGGCCCTCCAACCGGGCTACTCCCTCACCTCCGAGGCCGGGGTCTCCGGCAACGCCGTCCTCAATCTGGGCCCCATCACCGGCAACGCAACCAACATCCTCATCCCCGCCAACTATGACGGCGGCCAACATAATGCTCCCGCGCTGCAGTATGTTTCCCCCTCCCTTTCCTTGCTCCCCATCCCTTTCACCCGCAATCTCCCAGTACCCAGCCCCAGAGCCCCAGTAGACCATAAATCATGACCATCAATCTCCTTCTCCCTCACTACTTCTTATCCCCGAACCCCCTCGTCCTATGGTTCAGCTCGGGTCATGAGTCGCGTGTACAGTACCTAAAGTAACATCACCAAAAAAAAAACAGATGGGTGATTTTCCTCTCCGGAGTGGCGCACATCACGCTTCCGACCTCCGCGGACGAGGCGTGGGTGACCGGGGGCAAGAACGGGGCGATCCTGGCGCTGGACACCCAGGAGGTGAGCGCGGAGGGCCACACGACGACGTATCCGTCCGGTCAGATGACGGTGGCGGTGGAGGTGCCCTTGGCGGAGGTGCCGGCGCATCGGGTGTTGCATTCGGGGGCTTGTGGGGCGGGGGAGGTGTTGGCGTGATTGAGTGTATTCGATGGGGATATGACTTGGTAGGTGCAGTTGGGTTACCTGCTGGCTGTTGGTGTGGTATGGTATGTCACGTGGCTAAGGGAAGATATATTTATGTTCTCGCCGGGTGAAGAAAAGATGATTGATATATTCACACTACTCCTTCCCTCTCTCCCTTTTTTTGACTGCTCACGCCCTAGTTCTAGCATGCGATAAGTGGCGGGAAAACCGAGGTGAAAACGACGAAGGAAAAAAATAGAAAGAAATCCCAAGTGGAACCAATCAAAACATGATCCTTTACTCGTAACTCAACACATCCACCCCCTCTCTCTCTGTACTTTTTTAGGTTGGAGGCAATAATAAAACATCCGGGGAGAATGACACCAACATTACTGTTGCCGCTACTGCTGCTGCTGAAGAACGGGGGTATAAAATCTAATGGTAGGAGAGGGTGAGGTGGTAGAAGATGGGATGACAAGGTGAACAAAAAAAAGAGAGTTTTGATCTATCGCCTATTTTCTTCCTGCCTTCTTGCCCTTGCCTCGTCCACCACCGCCACCGCTGTTCAGCCGGGCCTTCTTGGAAGGCGGAGGCTGAGGAGCGGCAGTGGCCTCGTCATCAGACTCCTCCTCGTCCTCCGTATCGGCGACGAAGTCCACCATAGAGCCGACGCTCTCGGCATCCTCGTCATCCTCGTCTTCATCTTCCTCGAGGGACTCTTCCGCATCGGAGGAGCCAGCGGACTCTTCCGCCTCGACATCGAGGATGTTCTCATCCTCGTCCTCCTCTTCTTCGCTGCCTTCTTCTTCATCCTCGGAAGAGTCTCCACCGTAGTGCACGCCATTCATCATCGACTCCTCCTCATCGTAGGTCTGGTCACGTATCGACTTGGTGCGGGGTGTGACGGTGTCCTTGTTCGCCTCGGCGTCGCTATCCTCGTATTCATCCTCCTGTCCCTCCACGTAAATGATGTTCTCCTCATCCTCGCTGTCCATGGCCTCTTCGCCGTTGTGGATCGACCGTCGCAATCCGAGCTGGGCGTCCAACATATCGAGCTTGCCCTTGAGCAGGAGCAGCGAAGGAAGGCTTGAAGAGCGCTGCTCCATGACCTTGAAGAGGGTCGACATCCGCTTGAGAAGCTCGGGCTTACCAGCAAGGGCTCCACCGTGCGCGACGCAGGTCCACTGGACCCAGACTAGCAGGTGCCCGTAACGACCGGGGCGACCGGAAAGGCGCTCTGCGAGTTTCTGGAGGAGAGTGGCTGCCAGGGACGAGTCGAGGCGTTGGATGGTAGTGCGGATGATAGAGAGGTCGCCGGTGTGGAAGCATGACTCGAGCATAGCGGTGTCGTTGGTCTTGAGAGACTGGGTGAGGACGGTGGACAGTGACACGCCCGAAGGGATTTGCTGGATCGCGGCGTTTGGCTTTCCGGGGATCAGGGATCCCATATGCACGTCGTCCTCAAGCTCGGCTTCGACGTCAACAATTTCCTGGTTAGCGCGCACAAGCTCACCGAAAGACGGCTCGCCAGTCTCCTCCTCTTCGTCCTCGGAGCCTGACTCTTGCTCATTACCCATTTCGACATCGCTGTCCTCCTCCTTCTTTTGCAACTGCTTCGAGGGCTTCTCGTTGTCGGCGTCGGAGTCGGACTCTTCTTCACTGTCGGCCTGGGAAACAGCATCTTCCTTGGTATCTTCCATTTCGATGTCATCTTCAATGATGTTTCCCTGCTCTACCGTGGCCCGGGACTGGTCGACATCGTTTTCTCTAGCGCTTCTGGTTCCGTTCGTGGTGACGGAACCCAAGACTCCGCCAGACTTGGTTCTAGGAAAGGTCCTAGTGCCAGTGAACAACACCTCGTCGGTTTCCTCATCGAGCCATTGGACCCGCTCGAAGACAGGAACGACACCACCGTCAGCCCAGACAATAACCAGGTCGGGGCCTTGGAACGTCGCTGCCACAACTGACACAAGCGCCTCGGAGGTAGCAGACATGGTGACCTTAATCGATGCCTCTGCTCTTCTGATGGCCTGCTTAGATCTGGCCCTCTGTTGAGCAGCACCCTTGGCAGAAGTCTGCTCAGCGGGCGTTACGAAAGGCCGCGTGAAGAGTTCAATCGTGCCATCCTCAGTCACAGCGGCGAGAACTTGCTTCTCTACCGGGAGAGAATCGCCGTTCTTTTCGGCGCCGGTGTACAAAGCTAGGGAGCTCACACCCTGCTCAGCCACGAGGTTCATGACAAGTTTCTGTTTCTCGGCATCGAAGACATTAATGTAGCGGTCACTATCGGATACAAGGAACAATCCCGTCCCCGCAGACTCTGCTGAAGATGTGAAGATTTGTCTGATAGGGTTGCGCATAGCATCAAACGACACAGGAGGTTCGTCCTTCTCGACGCTAACAATATACGGCGTTTGCGAGGCGCAAATGACATGGGGGTTAGAAGGAAGAGGACGCGAGAGTGTATTATATGTCGACGTGGAAGGTAGATGGATGGTTCTGAGAATATGATCAGCCGAAAGGATGACTATAGTAGGAGGTGACTTGAGCTGAATTTACCTTGTCTTCTGTCCGGTGCGGAGGTCCCACTGCACTAGCTTGTTATCTCCGCCAATACTCCAACCCTCCTGGCCAGGCCGACTGGGGGTGAACTTGAAATCTTTGATGCCCCTCTCGTGTCCACCTGCAAGCGTGCCGACAATCTTATCATCCACAGGCGAATACATTCGAATCTCAGAAGTGTTGGTTCCAAAGGCAACGACGACATCGCCCTGATCGAAAGCGTCCCCATTGATATCAGAATTCCTCTTTCTCTTCTTCTTCGATTGATCCTTGTCCTTCTGGCGACCGGCGAAATAACCCCAGTCTAGTGAGGTAACGATCTCCTTGGGACCCAAAACATGCTCGCACTGTAACCGTCCTGTGTTCGTATCGTGAATGCGGAGATGCTGAGCACCAAGGCCTTGAATGACCGACGCGAAGAGTGTCAGTTGGTACTCTGATGGAGCGAAAGACGCCTTTAAGATTGAAGACTGATTTCCGATCTGTGTCGATCCTATTACCGCGGGCGACGCAGCGGAGGAAGTTTTCGAAGCGGCCGGGCGAGACGCTTTCTTGGCCATTTTGGATGGACTCTGCGGGTGGAATCAAGGCGATAAATGCAAATGTGTCCGTGTCGCAAAGGAGGTAGCAGAGGGCGATAAGAAGCCTGACCCCACAGCAAATTCGAGCGACAACCTCTTGACTCTAAAAGACTGTTGTGCTGGTCGACCGTCGCCGACTTTCTGGACCCGAGTTGAGGTTGCTGAAGAGGAAAAAAAAGTTCTGTAAAGATGCGCTTGGCCTGTTGCGGGTTAGCTGCCCGTGATCGAGTTCCGCTCCGGGTGTCTTATCTAATCCTCCGCTACAGCCAAGCACAATTACACGGAGGGGTGAGGTGCCGGTACGTAGCGTTCTTCCTCTAATCATCTCCTTGTCCTACAAAATCTTACGTGCAGAGAAGAATGGGTCGAAAATGATACTCTAGTATCCTTTTTGATACTACTTACAGTTCAAGATTTCATGCAATGCTTTTTATTAACACCAGAAGTCATCAACAACCTCACATTACACTAACCGTGCAGGATCTTGAGAGCCAAAGAGCCCAGGAATACAGACCCTTACTACCTCAAACATATCTCGACTCTCCAAGCACCGATGCTTTCGATGAGATTAGGGGAAACTATTCGCCTCGCTGTCATCTCATTTCTCCCCTGTGATCACAATCGCAGTGCTGCCAGGGCGGCAGTTCCTGGGTTACCTGCCAACAGCCAGTTGGTCAGATTCGGCATGGTTACAGCAACAGATGTGCCACAGTCTTCAAATCTTCACGTCCACGTTCAACTTGAAGACAAAAATTTTTAGCTGCTACAAGACATAACCGACGCGATTGAGCAGCCCAAGAGTATGGCTAATTGAGACAACAGGCGCCATGGTTTGTGAACGGCTGCCTAGACGAGTCATCCTTTCGAAGAGCGCCGAGCGACCGGGAATCGATATGTGTCATACTCATCGAAACCCCATGACCTGAAGGTTTCATGTCCTCAGTGAGGCCCAGCTTCTGATTTGATGATAGTGGCGGGAACCTCTACGAATCTCTCACCTCCACGACACCAACACTGTTTCCAGCTCATCGATGCGCGTTCTTATGAGTATGACAAATCCGTTAAATCCGTTGAATGTTCAGACCTGGCCACTCGGAGATTTGATTTGCAAAGACCCAAGGGCCTGGTTACATCAGCATTCGGACTAAACCGGATGCGATGCAAGGGAGGGCTCAGGGCTAAACCCTGGGGTTGCACCAAGTCAGCAGACCAACACATCCTGGCTTCGGGCGGCCAGCAGCAGGTCTGTAAGCTTCCTATTAGATCCATGATGCATCCTCCCACCGAAGGCCTAACACACTCTAATCGGGTATGTCATATCTGATCTCACTTGGCCAAGGTACCATAGTGATGTATCTGGTCGACAGGGTGCAGATCGGTATGCCACCGTTTAGTGATTCGGATCAGTTTTTTTTTTCTTTGGAGGATACGGTCCTCATTCATCACTCACCGAGTGGACAACCTCGTTTTTTTTTTTTTTTTTTTTTAACCATTACACTCTCTGTCTTGGTGTCTGGCTTCGAGGATGTTTCCGACAAAGACCAGGGTTGGATACGACCAATAGTAACCAGAAATCCGTCGAACGCGTCATCGGCGAACCAATGAGGAGGTGTAGAATGGCTTGAACTAGATAAATTGGGACTAGCGTAGCAGATGGAGTTAGCGGCAGAGAGCGGACGGGCGCGACGCGGCCGTTCGTACTTAAGGATTCTAGCACCCCCTCCGACTTTCTCTGTCTCTGTTTCTGGAGCTGAGAGCTGAGAGCTGCGCGCCGGTCACGCTTTTCCCCTACTTTACCACCACACACCCCCCATTCCCTCCTCCCCTCTGCTGACCGCCCTCCACCTCACTCATCTTTCTCTGCTTTCTAAGCTGTTGCAGCCTGTTTTATCCTCGGTTGCCCCTGGATATTACTCACGCGTCTTGTATCGCGTCGCGCCCTCACCCGTTCGATCCCAGCCACAGCTACTACAGCTGCTTATTCTATTCGGGATAAATCTATTTTATTTTTTTATTTTATTTTTTTTTCCCTTGGGGTCTTATTATTTTCACCTTCCCCCTTTCCCCTTTCTTATTATTATTAGCAACGACTTCCGTCCAAGCTCCCGAACCCAATTCCATCCGTGTCCTTCCCTTTCTCTTTACCAACGCGTTGCCAAAACCTTTAATCGGCCTAAGGCACGAACAAAGGCACGTGTGTTGAATGACGGGTGACTATTTCAACAACTCCGGCATTCAGTGACTTACCCTTGATTGCCATCTTATCTCAATTCCTCTTCAATCCCCTTTTTCCTTTCGGTTCTGATATCGTTTCCCTTCACATCCGTCTGGCGCCGCTGCCTTCCGCTTAGCTAACCCACGCTTGCCGCCCACGTGACTGTTGCATTTACCGCCCGCCGCCTCTTGGCGATATAAGTACTTGCCCAGTGCCTTGTCGCATTCTCCACATTTGCGACCCGCGCTAATCTTCATCATTTCCTGTATCTGCTGCAACTCCCGTGGCGTCGCATCATACTGGGACTGCTTATTCAACCGGTTTTCCCTTCTGTCATCTGTCATCTAATCAGCTTACTTGCTCGCCCGCTTATCGAATCCATTCATTAGTCTGTGATAGCGCAGAGTGTTACCTATTCAGTTGATTGTTGTTGCCGTCGCTTCCTAAAATCCTTGGGTTAACTGAGACTCCCATCGGAATCGCCGCCTGCTTAGATTTTCTGTATCTCGGCCACCCCAAGGCGGGCTTTTCTTCACAGCGACCCCAAATGGCGACGCCGCCTCCGGAGGCCCCTTCTGACTTCAAGGAGGAGAAGCCTCAACTGCCGCCGTCGCCCAATGGAGTCTCGCCTGCTGGTGTCGATCGCACAGGGTACGTATCTTCGCAACCTCACTTATCATTATTTACGTCTCGTCGCTGACCACCTTCGTAGTTCCCAAGATGCTGTAGTCAGTGTCAAACCCGATGCGCCCGTCAACGGTGCCGAGAAGCCCTCGGAAGACACAAAGTCTGCTGCTGTCAATGGTCACAGTGCCGAACAAACTTCTGTTCCAAACGGCCTATCTGCAACCGCTTCTCCACCCAAGTCTCCTTCTCTGGCGAGTACAGACACACCCGCACAGCCAGCCGTCGCGTCCGAAGATAAAAAACCTTCAAACGTGGATTCAGTTGCGACTGGTGAGGGAGACAAGGCTACTGCAAGTAACAGTGAATCTGTTACTGAGAAGGCTCCGCACACGGGCGCGGACACTCTTAGCCCCAAAAACACACAGGCGTCACCGGATACGTCAAAGCCATCAACTGATACGTCCGATGCCAAAGTGGAGAGCACTGCACAGTCATCACAGAATATTGGATCTGTGAAAACAGAACTTCCCCACCATCCTTCTACCAGCCCGTCCAAAAGCGATGTTGCCAGATCTGTTCCTGCCGCGACGCCTCTTCCAAGCGTTGACCACGAGATGCGTGACGCCCCGGTGGTTCCAGCGTCCCCGACGAAGGTGACAAGGGAGCGAGAGTCTGATCATGGTGACGAACCCGCTGCTAAGCGAACCAAGTTCGGCGGAGAAGGCGCGTCTGCAACCGACTTCAAAGTTCCTAGCGCACCTACACCGGCCCATGAAAGCCGCTCCGCTGGCTCGAGCAATGGATATGGTGGGATCACCAAGGTTCAACACAAGTTCTTGCTTAAGTCGATTACGAGCCTGAAACGCATGCATGACTCGCGATTCTATCGAGAACCCGTGGATCCGATCAAATTGAACATTCCCCATTATCCGCAAATCATCAAGCAGCCAATGGATCTAGGAACCATTGAACGGAAGCTCAAATTCAACGAGTACAGAAGCGCACAGGCTGTAATAGATGATTTCAGACTAATGTGCCAGAACTCCTTAACCTTCAACGGCCCCGATCACTTGGTCACAGTTGAGGGTCAGAGGCTCAGAGGAACTTTTGAGAAGCAGATGCACAATCTTCCCAGGCCTGATGAGATGGAAGAAAAGAAGGCAAAGAAACTCCCTCCCAAGACGTCGGCAGCCCGTCGAGAACCTCGGGCGGCGCCGAGTCCTAGTACGGCACGTGCTACCGGCAACTCTCCTCAGTCTACCACGTTCGCTCTAGGTCCGGAGGGTTTGCCGCTGATCCGTCGTGACTCTGCTGCTAACGCAGATGGTCGTCCAAAACGCTCCATCCACCCTCCCAAGCGTGATCTTCCCTACGCTGCAAAGCCAAAGAAGAAGAAGTATCAATGGGAGCTGCGCTTCTGCACCGAAGTATGCGAGGAAATGTATAAGCCGAAGCATTTCAACTACGCGGCGCCTTTCTACTATCCTGTTGACCCCGTCGCCCTTAACATCCCTACCTACCACAGCATCATCAAGAAACCGATGGATCTATCTACTGTACAGACCAAACTGAAGGCTGGCCAATACGAAAATGCCAGGGAATTCGAATTAGACATGCGCTTGATCTTCAAGAACTGTTTCAAGTTCAATATCCCCGGCGATCCCACATATGTTGCCGGCCAGCGTCTGGAAGAGATCTTCAACCAGAAATGGGCCCAAAAGACCCGGTATCTTGAAACCCACGAACCTCACCCCGAGCACCAGAGCGCTGCAGAGTCTTCCGAGGACGAGAGTGAAGAAGAGGCAGAGGAAAGTGATTATGATGCTGAAAAACTCAGTTTGCTGCAGAAGCAGATGGAAGAGATGTCTCGTCAGATTGAGGCCATTACTCAGAAAAAGAAGAAGACTCCTCCTGGCTCCAAGAAAATCAGCAAGTCGAAGCCTCCCATGAAGAAGGAGGTCAAGAAGCCTGGAAGCGTAAGCTCGAGCAATGTCAAAAAGGACAAGAAGATCAGCACCAAGAGTACCAAGCCTGAGAAGCAGCGCTGGGTCACCTACCAGGAAAAGCAGATTATCTCCAATGGAATCAGTAGTCTTCCCGACAAGAAGATGCAGGAAGCGCTCAAGATTATTCAGAGCAACGTTCCGGCTCTTAAGGTATGCTATTTCCCCCTTCACCGTAAAGACGGGCCGTGGAACTAACACTTTGAAAAGGGTACACAAGAGACAGAGATCGAGCTTGATATCGATGAGCTTCCCAACGAGGTTCTTGTGCTCCTGCTTCGTTTTGTCAAGAAGAACGCGCCTCATGTGATGGAGGATGAGGAAGTTGCGACTCCCACTGCGGCGACTTCTACTACAACTGCTGCTCCCAAGCCGAAAAAGAACAAACCCATGAGCAAGTATGAGCAGGAGGCGCAGATAAACATGCTTGAAAGCAACTTGTCGCGCTTCTCGCAGGGAGGCGGTGGTCGCTCACCCGACCCTGTCCCCTCTGTCGAGGCCAACGAGAGTAGTGATGATTCGGAAGATGATTCTGAGGAGAGCGAGGAGGAGTAAGTGCCTGCCAGGTAGGAAGCCTACCATGTATCTGCCATGGAGCTTTAGCCGACGGTGGTGTTTGCTCCTGCCACTTGAAGCCATTGCTAGTCTCATCTCTCACCATCGCACACCCTTTACTCTTGTTTGTCTTTTTTTGCCATGTTCTCCATACAATAATGAGCTACCGTTCGTTTCCTAAGTCATTTCTCTTTTTTCCCTAGCGACCGACCCCTTTGACATCTGGAGGATGGTTCGATTTGTTCCTCGGACTCTCCAAAACTGTACATAAGGCGAGGCTGGGGGATCCGTCGGGTGATCCGGATAATTGTCGACCTCACAGCGTGACAATATTGGAAGATTGAGTTTGCTTTCATTGGACAGTCGTCGGTTTAGCCTTGAGCTGGCGAAACGACCAGTTTTCAGGCATCGGTGATTGGACTCAGTGAGCAAAGCGTGGTGGGAGTGGCGAGGGTCTGTGTATGATTACGAAAGAAACGTGAAAACGGAAGCGATTGCGAAGCATTACTTGTGCTATACAGGCCACGTTGGTCTCCAAATGAACATCTTCTCCTTTCGTAATTGTATGGAACTGTCTGGGGTAACCTTCGACCTGCCCTCTGTTCGAAGGAGATGAAGGCCTCGTTGCCTGGCACAGGGCGGTGAGCCGCTCAACGTCGCCGCGGAGGTTAAACTACTACGTCTCCGTACCCCGACAAGAAAGAGCAAAGGCAAAGTAAACATCCTCTTCACAAATCCGTCCCCGCAATCGCTACCCCAACGATGATCCCGCCCTGCGATCCAGCCATTCTTGAGAACAATCCCCAGTTCAGACATCTTTATGAACAAGTGACTACAAAGTTTCTCAACCAGGATGGTTCGACGCGCGCCAATGATGCACAGCCGGCAAGAAAGGCACTTTTGGAAGTATGTCAGCGTGGTAGTCCGCGATAGCCTTACCAGCTGTTCCTCTAAACATAGCCTTCATGCTGCGAACTAGGAATTGAACGACTGTCGTATCCGCGATGCGAGGAAGAAGATCACAAAGCAGGCATTGCGACGATTGGCGTTTGACCCCGATAGCGAGCTTCCCGACGAGGTAAGGGAGCGGATACCCCTAAGCATGCCGCTGGCTGCGTGTTGCCATCAGGCGCCAACTGACATGCAACTGTGGATACTCGTTTCTCGAACAAGTGTCGAGACCCCGCAGCCATCGTATACCTCTACCTCGAATCTCGCCCCGATGTGATCAATCTTCCTGCGGACCACGACGATCAACCCGACACCGACACCCTCCAACTCCTCACTCCAGACATCGACCTATTCTACTCCAGCCTCCCCGACCTTGCTGAGCCTCTTTCCCGCATATTGCTGGCCGATCTCGATGATCTACGCGCAATCACAGACGCAGGAACCGACTCAGATGCATCGGCCGCCGCCGGTCCTCGTACCCGCGCCCGCACGCGCCAGACAACCACCGGCAGCAGAAGAACCGCAGCGCAGCAGATCACTCTCTCCTCGCGGCTGGACAAGCGCATCCAGGCCCTGCGCCATATACAACTGAGCGAATTACCCGCAGCGCGGACCCGCATGGCTGCGACAGCTGCCGAAGTTCTGGCGACGCGGGCCGCGGTGCTAGAACGGACGGTGATGCTTCTGGAACGGGCGAAACATGGGGCATTCGCGCGGGCCACGAAGGCCAAGGCAGAGCATTTGGCCACGGTCGCGCAGGGGCTGGAAGGCAGGCTCAGGTATGGTCATTCTGTTCTCTCCTTCTGTTTCCCCCTTCCCATGAGGGCTCGATTGATGCCTCTGGAGGAAATGGAGGCCGTGGCTGACTGTCAACTTGCTCTGATATATTAGTGTTATGAAGCTGGATATTTCGGCCTCGATCCATACCCCGGAGGTTGTTGCGGCGCTTGGTCGGTACTGGGATCATCTTGAGGATACGCGGGAGCGTCTGGAAGAGAGGCGTACGGAAGCATTGGAGGAGTTGAGAGCGTATGGTCTTGTGGCAGAGGAAGAATCCGATCGAGAGGAGGGCGCGTCTGAAGATATAATGCGCTCCGAGCCCGAAACCATGCAAGAGGTTTACTGTCGATACTGGACCCTGATTCGAGAGGTGGAGAAGGTGAGAGGCGAGGCACGGCAGATGGGCGAGTTGCGATAAAGTGATGCTTGATGATAGTTTGACATGATACCCTAACTCATATGATTTGCCAATGCTACGTATGCCAGTCTCATCTTTTGTCTGGGAAGATGTCAACGGTAGTCTAGTGGTGATACTCAGGTACACTGAGTGGTCCCCGGTGATGGCCGCTGTACTGTACCTGACGATAACCAATCAGCCACCCCGCAATCAATCAATCACCTGACTCGGTCCGGTCCCGCCAAAAGTTTTCCCTTTGCGATAAACACTAGTACTCAGTCAAACCAAATAACTTTAATCTCCAATCTGAACGATTTCACCCCCTTTCCCCCAGAGAATTTATACCAGTCCAAACACAACCCCAACCCACTCACAACTCCTGTCCACACAACTTCCAAATCGAAATGGCCGACGACGCGATCTCCATCTACGACGAAATCGAAATCGAAGACATGACCTTCGACCCCAACCTGCAGATCTACCACTACCCGTGCCCGTGTGGCGACCGGTTCGAGATCGCGATCGACGACCTCCGCGACGGCGAGGACATCGCCGTCTGTCCTAGCTGCAGTCTGATGATCCGGGTGATTTTCGACGAGGTGAGTTTTTTGCTTGTGGGCTTGTGGGCTTGTGGCTAATTTGTATTCTTCTCTCCATGCAGGCTGATCTCGTTAAGGATGACGATAAGAACGGATCCGCTGGCGCGGTTGCTGTTCAGGCTTGAAGTTTTCCGGGGGGAAAAAAGTAATCCCATCAGCGGAATTAAGGCTTGCTTGGGCCTTCGTTTTCTTCCTTTTCTGGTTGACTGCGATTGATTTCGAGTCGAGATTCAGGAAGGAGGGGGGTTTGGGCTGCGTGGGATGGAATGGGTTTGTCGGTCTCATGTTCCGTGAATCATATGGGCTTGAGTTTGATGCTGAGGTGGTGCGTGAGGAGATCGGGGTATGGTCATATCTGCACCGAGCGTCGTTAGCCGTGCAGGGCTTGCACTCGCTCGGTTGCTCTGGGGATGGGATGGATGGGCTCAGCTGCCACCCATGACTGTGGGCAGTCCCGACTGGGTTGGGTCCACCACACCTTTGACCCGTTCCAGCGTGGACACTCATTGACCTACGCACCGCGGGTCGCCAGACCCAATCGCAAGCTGGGTGGCGCGATGCTGAACTACCCTCTCGTCCTGTGCAAACCTCTCAACTGCAAGTTGGTCGCGACAAGCCAATCAGATGCCATTCATTGGCTTGGGGAGCAAGTACCTAGCATACACTTGGAAGCCTACAGACCTGCGCAGCAAGCAGACCAACCCAACCCATCTCGAACCCTATATAAATTGGTCTAGCGGTTCCTTGACAGTCGCAATCACAAAAAGCAAAAGTTTCCAGAAATTCTCCCTAGCGCAGTCAATAATTTACATGACTCCTTTCTTATAGTCACAAAACACCACCCCGTAAAATCATTCCTTCAGAGCCACGAACAATCCGTATATTTCCGATAATACAACCGTTCCCCTAATCCAACTCACTGTAGATATCCTTCGGCAGGTTCAAGGTCAATTCATGGTTCAACAGATCGGTCAGATTCGTGCCATCGCGCAGATAGATCCACTGCCCATTGGCGAACGGCCGGGAGTCCTGCTTCTCATGCATCTGGTCGCCCTCGAGCACCCAATCGAACCGCTTGGGGCCGGAGATGGGCGAACTCAGCCAGATCTGCTTGTTGGGGGGCTGCTTGTTGAGCACGTATACACCGACTCCGGGGACGGTGACGTTCATGACTCCGGCCTAGCCCGACGCATACACAGGCAGAATGTTAGCTTCGAAGCGTGGCTGGTGGCAGCGGTAAAGGGTGCGGGACAGGGCCACAACGCACACTATATTCGGCCTCAATCTCCGAGCCCTCCTCCTGACGAGATTCCACCTCCTCGAGAACGGTGTTCAGGTAGTGCTCGGCGTAGTCATGGTACTGCCCATCGGTCAATGGGGACGGCTCCGAGACGTGGGCGGCGGCGCCGGCGACATTGTGCGATTGCGGGTTCGGGGCCGCGGGGTCGGCGGAGTCCGGGAAGATGCCTTTGCGGGTGGAAGGGGTGGAGTGGAAGCTTCTTTGCGGAAGAAGGAATCGAGATGTGGAAGTGGAAGCTGGGGGTTGTGAGGAAAGGGAAGCAACTGCTGCTGCTGCTGGGGCGAGGTGAGCACCGGCGCCGGTGCGGAGAGCTGGACGAGCGACGGCGGCCACGATGGCCCGGGAGGCTCGAGAGTACATGATTGATGATGGTTTAGTTGGATTGGATTGGATTGTCTTTGGGTGGGAATTACTAGACGGAAAAGCAAGACGGACGAGACACGAAATGAGCAAGAGGATTGAAGTGCAGTGCAAAAGAGAGCACTACCGATTAAGAATGGAGAATGGAGAAATGGAAAGAATGGGGGGAAAAGCGGAGATGATTTCATCAATGATCACAGCATAAGGCGGCATAAGGTAAGCTGCCTCGCTCGCTGATTGGATTGGTCGGACGGCAGAAGCTCCATTCCCGTTGCTACCAGCCAAACACTATGACTTCGTTTACTTGTTCCTACTTCTACTTCGCACTTATGGATGTTGCCTGCTACCACACTCTGTTGAGTCTTCGCACAGACTCTCTTATCTCTGGATGAGACAGTTCCCCATATCATGCTGGCCGTGTTGCTCAGCTCTCCCAAATTTCCTCCAATCTCTCGATCTACAATGTCGGTTCATCAATAGCGATCACCACCCGGCACACCGATACTAGATGTCCGCCTCCCGGCCCACCTGGAGGTATATCACCTCAAGGGTCACACTCAATCATTGTCCTTCCCGGCATTACGCTCGCCATGAACCGAAGGCTGTCATTGTCAGCCAACGGAAGCTTAGCTTGAACCAAGCTTACCGCAAAAAGCATATGCTCGTGATACCCGTGTATGAAGGCAGCGCTCTCCAGCAATGGGTGACGGCGTACGCCACCTTTGGCAACTATCTGCCAGGCGGGGTTCTGGGGCCTCGCAATCTCCGCCCGCCCGGCACTCTGCATCTGACCGTGGGGATGATGACCCTTGACACCAAATCACGCGTCAAAGCAGCCTGTCGATTCCTCGAGTCTCTCGATCTCGACGCCATTAGGCGCCTGGCGGATCAAGAGGCCTTCCGACAACACGTCGGGTATATCCCCGCCGAGCCCTCGCAGCAAGACAAGCCTTGGGCATCATCCCCAGGTACCCGGCCCCGACCACTCACGGTCTCCTTCGAGAGCCTGGTGGGCTTCCCTTCGCCCGATGCAGCCCGTCACCTCTGCACGGTTCCCGTCGATCCCACTCTCCGCCTTCACTACTTCTTGATCTATCTCCGCCGGAGCTTCCACCAAGCCGGCTTCTTCTGGGACGACCACAGCGACGAGGACGAGATCTCGGCCTACCGGCTGGAAGATGATCGGTCCCCTGCCGAGCCGTCGAGTGACGGGGAGCTGGCTGCGGATTCCGCAGCGGCGGACCTGGTGGAAATTGGCTCGGATTCATCCTCCTCCTCCTCCTCCTCCTCCTCCTCCGTGACCAAGTCCTCTTCTTCGCATGAGGAATCACTGGAAGACGCCCCCCGGCTTTCCAACCCAAGCAACGCGCCCCCGCCCCCGCCCTCGCCCAGCTACAAGAGAGGATGGAAAATCCACCAGATTCATACGACCGTGGCAAGCACAAGTTTCCGGGTGGGTGATAATATCCTACAACACTCGGTGGACGTACGGGGTCTCATCGACCATTTTCGGGACTATTATCTCGACGAAGAGAAGACGATGCCGCACTGCGAGCTGACCATGGACGAGCAGTTCCGATGGGAATCGGATGTCTTCCATGAGTGTTCTATGGAGGAGGAGGGAGAAGATGGCTACGAGGGTTGGCATGTGGAAGAATCGCCGAAGAACCCCTCGGAGGACCCCACGGCAAGCGCCCAGGGGACGTCTAGTCCTCCCGCCAAGCTCAATTCCTTCGTCTGGGCCAAGAATGTGCGTCTAGAATCCCTCCAGCTCAGCCCAGGTGGGTTTTACGACCGGTGTGATCAGTCCACCCCAGTTGGGAGAGCGCGGAAAATGATGCTCAAGGTTATCGCGCAAAGAAGCTTGCTATGATAATACAAGAGAAAATGTGACCGGGAAAGGAAAAGCTTTAGTTGGAAATGTGGGGGGGGTTCATATGCGTACGGGTGTTTGTACATGTAGATTCTAGAGGTTCATCTGAGAGGACATACATACCATACTCAGCAGCTCTAGTTGCTGGCCGGCCTCCTACAACTGAATATACAGAAGCAAAATCTGACCAATGCTCTTTGTTTGATCTAAGAGGGAACGCAGCCTGCTTTTTCCTCTGTAGTTATATAAATGCGGTTTATAAGCAATCAACAATTACCCAAAACCCTCTTCTCCGGGCGGGACACCTAAAACGCCACGCTGGAAACAGACAACCAGAAAATGCCGCCGAACATTGCCAGCCGGCTGGCTCCCTTTTCTGTCCAAGGCCGGGAGAGCAAGCCGACAACAAAAGAAAATGCCATAATAAAAAATCACCGGACCTTGCTCATGAGCGTCTCCATGCCCCGTTCAACCGACAATTCCGCCGCCTTGGCCTTGATGGCGCTGACCATGCTGCGCTCGAAATCGTCGCGGGTGCGCACGACGGCCTCGACCCAGGAGAGCTGCAGGTCCCAGTACTCGGTCTTGAAGCTCTCGTAGACGGCGACGAGGGCGGGGCCCTTGTCGGCCTCGAGCAGGCGGACGAGCCAGTCGACGAGGCGCCACCTCTGCTTGATGGTGCCGGCGAAGGAGTCCGGGTAGTTCTGGAAGAAGGCGAAGACGGTGAGGACGTCGTCCTTGAACTTGTCGGTGTAAGGGTCGGCGTGGCGGCGGAACTTGACGCCGCGGTTGCGGACGGAGGCGAGGTAGCGGACGAGGAGCTCGTCGGAGAGCTCCTCGACGAGGATGTCGATCAGGGAGGGGTGGAGCACGGGAGTGTAGTCGGCCATGTAGTCCTCGAAGGTGGAGGTGATGCGCTTGACGGCGAAGTCGCCGTACCACTTCGGGGTGAAGAAGTCCGGGATGGTGGTGCGGAAGTCGACGGCGAAGATGAGCTCGACGAACTGGTTGAGGCAGTGGGTGCTGAGGTCGACGTAGCCGTCGCGCAGCGCCTCCAGCTCCGGCAGCGCTCGCCCCGCCATGTACTTGGGGTCCACGATCGTCTCGAAGTCCCGCTTGAACCGCGTCAGGTAGCCCAGCTGGCCCGTCTCCTCGTTGTCGTCGATGCACGCGATCTGATCGTTCGCGATCGCGATCAGCCAGTCCTGCAGCAGCTGCAGCCCCTCGAGCTGGTCCCCGCCGGGCGCCTTGTACTTGGCGCACTCCTCGTCCACGAGCGCCTGCCACGCCGTCTGCCGGCTCTTCAGCACCGCGAACATGGCGTCGATGATGCCCTCCACGACGTCCGTCCGCGACGAGGCCCCCGACGCCATGATCTGCTCGTGCAGCATCCGCCACATGTCGGGCAGCGTCTTGGTCCGGAAGCAGCCTTCCGGATTGGTGTCCAGCGAGTCTGGGATCCGCTCCACGAGATTCTTCTTCTCCGTTTCGGCGATCCGTTGCGTCCAGTCCTCCACGGCGCGGATGATGATGTTCTGCCACTGCCGGATCAGCTCGGGCTCGCGGTCGTCGAGCAGGTTGGGTTGGAGGTC